GCATGGTATATAACCGTGTTGTCTGTTGTTGCATATGAAAAGTTAAAATTGCAACGTAACATCTCGTACCATGGAAGCAATACACACATTGTTATCATTCTATATACACAAGGCCCCAATTTTTGTCTGTACCCGACCAACCGATTGTTTCGGGTCACGAGAACGACACAAGAATACTTTTATCTGAAATGATGATCAACAACCAAACATCGATAGAGTGATACTACTTTGTTCAAATTAAGCAATGTTAAATGTTCTTCGTCTATTTATTCATATATCTATGGAATAGTATATTTGAGTATGAATTTGACGTTTTGGTTATCTATATAACCTATTTTTTAGTAATTCAAAATGTATCTCACATCTGAGTGTATCCTGAGGGTTGTAGATAATCAATGACCGTGTACAATAAACGACCATATTGCCAGTGACGCATCAACCAACCAATGATTCGCCCCAAATGACATCAACGCAGAGCCGGAATTCTTTTTTTAGTGTGAAAGTTATTGTTTTTATAATGAAAGTGACATTAACCAGGGGAAAATATGTGTACTAGTAATTCATGATGACGGTGAAGAATAAAGTACATTTAAGAGAATGCTCATTTTAGGGTAGCGGGACTATTATTTGCATACTTCATCTTCTAATTGTGACTAAATGACTACAAAAAGACCAAGGAAAGTATATACTTTTGGAATCGCAAGACTTCCAGCTTTTCAAAGGTGTGTTTGTCATGCCCGTATCTGCATTCTACGACGCGTTACTCAATCAATCAAAGGTAAAAAATACTTTTTCTGTAAAAAAAAATAATTACGCATTTATGCTGGTGATAAGAAGTTTTTTTTTTCACTTTTCCTAGTTGTTCAATAGTCTGGTAAATTGATTGTGTCTTGTCAGTTTTATTCAAGCAATGCGTTTTAAAAAGTAGTGTGCTGAATTTTAATTTCCGTTTTAGTCGCATTGCCCCCAAGTCAAACCACAACACGTTAGTAAATAATCCACGAAATAGTTTGTCTGGACACATTCAAGTTCCTCTCATTGTCACCTTAAAGCTGTGAAAATTTGGTGATAATCCGACGACAATAAGTATACGTTATTTTTTGTTACAGACCTTGTATTTCGAAAAAAATAAACTCCTAGAAAACGTCCATGAAGTCACAGCAAAGATTTTCAAGCTTGTTTATCGGCACAATCGATTTGTTTTCCTTTCAAAGTCTGTTTTAACATGTGCAGGGGCATCCAAATGTGCAAGGCTATTGGAAACCCAAAAAAATAAAGGAATGGGATAGCTATAATTCGATCAGTGGCTGTGTGACCTTGTGTCTGACACATTCATATGCAAATGACTAATCTGTGAAACAAACAGGGGCAGAGACAAACCACTCAAATGTTTGGAAACACTCATTGTGTGTCAGATAGCTACTGATAACACATCCTAACATTGCTTTGTCTTGAGTTTATCTTTGAAACTTTGAAACTCATAGGCACACAGATTAAACCTGTGTTGTTGATTTTGGAAAACACTACTGAGGCTGTCTTGCTTCCCTTCAAAAAATCAACATTTTAACCAACTTACATGACATTCTATGTTATGTTGACTTTATCACATGAAAGTTTATAGTGCATTGTATCAATTAATAAATAAATGTGAAAATTGTAATTTTCAACACAAATAATAGTCTTGCTACCTTAAATGTTGATACAATTAGAAAACTTTGCATTCTTTTTTCAGGCAAGTTTAGCCTAAGAGACCAACTATTTAGATTTATTTATTTTAACACTCAACATGAAGTCGACATTGTGTGATATCACTCTAAAATGCATATAACATCACGGTTACTAAAAAATTACTAATATACTAATGTCCACGCTACACGAAGTATGGGCTAATTATATATGTCTACATATTGGATAAATCCAATTAGACTCATTACTACCTTATACTAAAATATGTTTGGATATTTACTAAGAAATTGACACTCCCGGTCCAGTTAGACTTAAAATACACCACGAATATTCACTTTTCAGATATAATTTTGGTATGTGTTGATTCTTGGATACTTTATCTTCGTCGTCCTGTACTTCGTTTAGTAATTCGAACTTCCCAGTTTGCGTAAAAATGGCGAGTTTCGCGATTTCAACATCGAAAATGTCTTTGCTTCATTATTTGGTGAGGGACGGCCGCTTAGATATGTGCTCTGTAACTTGCAGCACATGAATCTAAAAACCTTAGGTAATCAAACAAAAATGACGTAGTACTAAAGTCCAAAAAGTACGTTCAAGGTCTGCATTTTTTCATAGCATAAAAACGATTTACTCTCTCGCTCATTGTGACACCCTCAAATCAACTGATTTCCATTCCCTTCAAGAGTCAAAATGGTATGTGCCTCTACAGTTTTGTATTTTACGCCAAGACTTGAAAAAGTCTTTTTTGCTTGACGTGTTCATTTGCCTTTAATTGTGTTTCAGTGGCTGTCACAGTCATATTCTGAATCTTAGCGATAACATTTTGGATCAAATTCACGTAGATATCGCCAACTAAAGCTAATTTGCATAACAATGTTTTTGCCCTATGTCGCCATATTGGACACCCCATACAATTAGTTATTTAAGTCTTAAGTACAGATATGACCTTGGTAGTACTTATTAAGCTTAAGTGTACAAAGTCATTATATGCAATGACAGGAAGTTGTAATTGATACCATCTGTTTTAATTGAGCAAGTGATCAGATGCTATGCAGACTCCAGTGAACTAACATCCTGTAACAGCACTGTAATCTTTTTTGGGAAAGTCCAAGATTATTGAAGGAACCCGTTTTTGACTGAGCTGCTTTCGTGTTTTGACGCCTGATTGACACCTGCAACACATATTCATTCTATTTTTTCCCCAAATTTCATATATTGAACTTTGTTCCATTTTGAAGTTAGTCATTTGTGAACTAAACGGTTTGCTATTAGCATTCAACAATTTTCAAAATAACTTTTCGTCAGTGTTGTGGAGTAGAGCTTTGAGTGCTGATCACAATGTCAAAAATAACAATGGATAAACTACAACAGTTCAGTTTAGACATGGCCATACATGGACACAGTTTTTCATTAACGGAACAAGCTGGAACTGGCAAGACTAAAATCTTATTGAACTAATCAGGAATTTGAGGAAGACCAGTTACAGCTAGCACAGGCATGGCTGCAAGTCAGTCATTTTTTATTATCCAAGGAACGTTCCGAGCGCCTGTGGTTTGGATCGGACGATTTCTTTTGTTACTGCGAAAAAGCCAATACGAAACCCACTTACCACGAAAGCCACTTACCACGAAGCTACTAGTTTATTGTTTAAAATAAGAATGGTCTGCTCGCCTATTAAACCAGTTCCTGCTTCGCGGCATAGGATGACAAAGGAATCTGATTTGTTGGGCCCTCACATCTCTAAACAGTAAATATACTTGAAAACTAAATATATATTACATTATCAGTTGAAAACAAATCATTGTCGGATATTTTGAGTTACAATATCGGTTGCTTTTTTGTTATTATTGGTTGCGAATTGTTATCGGTTTTTGATACAATATCGGTTAAATTATCCTGTTATATTATCTGTTAATGATACATTATCGGTAAGTATTACATTATCAGATCCAACAGCGCTTCTAGATTTCGCGATGATACCGCTGTCCTGGTAGCCTCCCGACTAGGTCGCACTCACAGTCAGCTGGCGCACACGTGATAATAAAATAAATACGATATTTACTATATGGGGGCCGCCACATTGAATTACGCATAAAACTAAATAAGAGACAAGTTGTGAAACGCGTTTTTCAGATTCCTACAAATCAGGACAAAAATACCAATCTTTCACAAAAATACGGTTCGTTGGGGTCATATTAAGCCAACCGATAACAAAATTCGGCCTAATTCGTTGTTTTTGTGTGGGAAAATCCCTTGCATACGAACACCTAATTACGCGAAGAACCTAGGACACTGTCCTGGGGTATTTAAAACTAAAAATTGGCATTCCAGCTCAGCCGCCAATCAGCGACGGCCTAACGCTTAGATGACAATTTCGGTTTCAAATACCCCGGCTTAGTTTTTTTGACATTTGACCTCATTTTTAGAGGTTAAGATTTGATCCAAAAAGTTAACTTCTCTTTTAAGTCTTCTTCATTTTTTAATTCTGCGCATTTTTGACACCAATTTTATCTATATACCATATTCTGGTGATGAAATATGACTCATACAAGAATCATAGCTATTTGGGCAAAGGTCAATGAACTTTGACCTCTGATTAAAAGGTTTCCCCAACCCTTATCTCTCCTTCATTTTTAGCTCCGCTGTCGACTTTGTCGAGTGGAGCTTATCATATGAGTGATTGTCCGTCGTCGTCCGTCGTCCGTCGTCGTCCGTCGTCCGTCGTCCGTGTCAATGTTTTACTTTTTCGACTTCTTGTTGAAAACTACAAGCCTGAATGCTTTGATACTTGGTGTATATGTACCTTGGGTCGACCTCTCTTAGGTTTGTTCATTTCATGTTGATATCTTCAATTCTCTAATTTTGGTTAATATTTTTGTCATTTTTGGTAAAAAGTGATATTTTCGACTTCTTGTTAAAAACCGCAAGTCCAATTGTTTTGATACTACATATATAGGTACTACATGTGGACCTCTCTCAGATTTGTTCATTTCGTGATGATATGTTCAATTCTCTAATTTTGGTGAATATTTTTGTTATTTTTGGTAAAAAGTGATATTTTCGACTTCTTGTTAAAAACCGATTAAAGTCCGATTGCTTTGATATTACATATATAGGTACTACATGTGGACCTCTCTCAGATTTGTTCATTTTGTAATGATATCTTTAATTCTCTAATTTTGGTGAATATTTTTGTAATTTTTGGTAAAAAGTGATATTTTCGACTTCTTGTCTATACATATGATGTATATGTAGATGGCCGCTATTCAAAGAGCTCGTGTGAGTGTGTGTGGTTTTTGGTTCTTTTGTCGTTGATGTTATCTGGGGATATTGAGGTGAACCCAGGACCAGCTAAATCCAAGTCTAAAAAATCTGAAAGGAAAATAACTGATGTAATATCGACACCTGGATCCAGCGAGGATGAAGGTAAGTCCAGTCTTACGCTTGCCGATATAATGATGGAATTGCGTGGGTTTAAAAAGGAACTGAAAGTACAAATTTCAGCACTAGATGATGTGGTTCGTAAGCTTGCTGATGAAATGAGAGCCTTGAAATCTGGCGTTGATGACAACCGACAGAAAATAAATGAACTGATTGAGCAAAATAAACAATTGAGTGATAAAATTGACACAATGGAAAATGCAGGTGATAAAATGAAGGCGCACATGTTACGGAACAATTTAATTTTCCACGGCATTCCACAGAGTGGTTTGGAAACATGGGAACAGATGGAAGAGTTACTATGTGGATTTATTACTGATAAACTGGATATTGACGGTTCACAGATAGAATTTCAGATTGTTCACCGTTTAACTTATGCCCGTAGCCGACCACAACCAATAATAGGCAAGTTTCTTAGGTATAAACAGAGGGATGAAGTTCTACGTGCTGCTGTGAAATAAAA